GCCAAGTCATGAACGGGTGCTCATGTGGGACGTCAGCATCACTGGTGGACGCTTCACCTGCTATGCCACAACGCTGGCCCCATATACATTAAATTTATATTGCAAACCAGATTATTTTTCCTTTACACTGATTACTATACATGATGGTACAATGTGTACCTCAGTGTTAGTACAATAGCTTAAACATATTTAGAGTAATTTTATTGATTTTTTGTGATGCCCATTTATTTCTACTTGCTTGTTTATCATTAATTGGATTTCCATATAACTTAATAGTCTGTATTCCTAGTACCTCCCAAATGCTTTATCTGGGGGGCTAGTAGCTGCTGAGTATGTTTATTAAATGTACCTCACATTCTGCCATTAAGTCTACATAATGAATTTTTTTGAGGGAGAGAGCTTATGCAACTATAATCTATCAACTCATTATGAATATCATAGCTATACTTTTCTGCTAATGGAAATACACATTTTAGGGCCTGGCATTGTGGTATAGCATGTAAAACCACCATCTGTGACATTAGCATCCCATATGGGCACAGGTTTGTGTCCTAGCTGCTCCACTTTTGATTCAGCTCCCTGCTAATGGCCTGGGAAAAGCAGTGGAAGACAGCCCAAGTGGAAGATGGCCCAAGAGCTCCTGGCTCTTGGCTTCAGCCTGGCTCAGTCCTTGCCATTGCAGCTATTTATGGAATAAACCAATGGATGTAAGATTGAGCTCTCTCTCTCCCCCTGAACCCCTGGTTCTGATTCTTAAATAAATGAATCTTTTTTTACAAAAATGAAATACTCAAGTTAATATTTTCTTCTCTAATATTTTATATGATTGCTTGATATTTACAAATTGTGTTAAAGTTCACACAATGGAATATTACCTGCTTATAATATTTTAAACCTATTTTTAACTGACAAAGTCTTAGCACTTTTTAAAGATGATTCTGGTTCCTTACAATACATCTAGGAAGAAGATTCATAAATTTCTTGAGCTTACGTATTTATCTGAAAGGCAGAGAAATGAGAGAGGGAGAGAACACTATTCCATCTTCCAGTTCCCTCCTGCAAATGCTTGCAACATCAAGGGCTGGGCAAGGCCAAAGTCAGGAGCCAGAGACTCCATCCCAATTTCCCACATGAGTGAGAGTGACTCATGTACTTGAGAGACCCCATATTTGTTTTATTTTTAGAATTTAGTTCTATAAAGATTAAATAAATATATTAAATACGGATTTCCTGTATTTAATATATACAGTTTTTAGCACATAGCATACGTTACACCCATCCTCCTCCTTCCTTTCTTTTCTTTTTTCCTGTTAATTTTTATAAAACATACTTTCACTTTACTTTATAGCCACAGGCTTAATCCTCCACTAAATAAAGAATTCAACAATAGAAAATAGAAATTCTACTGTTCCACAAGAGTATAGACAAGGACTATAAGCAATAATCAAATCTCAAGATAAAATAAAACAGTTTTAAAACAACTTCAAAGATAATCTTGAAGTTTATTGGGCAGGTTTGGCAAGAGATGCAGAAGAATTTAGCAACTCCTGTGGCTGAGAGTCACTGGAAAAATAGCCTTGTGACTTTTCTATATCTTGTCTCCCATCTTACTCTCCTACATTTTTCTCTCAACGCATTGGACACATCTTTGATTCACACATTTATTCAGCATTTTCTAAACCCTTAATGGATACCAGGAACCATGCTAGATGTTATGAATAAAAGGACTACTAAGAAATGAGTTTTTAAAACAGTTGAGTTGCTTTACCAATATATTAGTACTTTCTTATTTTTTTCCAGAAAACTTCATATTACTGTTTTTATGAACACCATTCATGTATTTTCCATTTGCCATAACTTACATTCTAGGAGAAGTCCCAAGAAAAAGTAATAACCAAGAAACAGGCGTCTTCGAAGAAACAGCTTTTTCTCACATCATCAGCAGACAGAGGCTCCTGATTAAGGCTCAGATCCCACATTTTTTTTTAAAGAATTTGATTCATGTAAGAGGAACTTAGGTAAGGTAACCACGGAAATTCAGTGGTAGAACTGCCTGGTATTGGTCTACTCCCAGCTTCCACTCATGCAACATGCATAGAGACTCGTCTTGAGAGCCAACAAGATAGAACGAGTGACGGACAGGAGGCAGACTAGTCTTATGTGTGGACAGAATAGGAAGTTGCCTGTAAAAAATATCAGGAGTTAGTCTCCTCTCCACCAAAGCAAAATAAAACATTCATTAAAATTGTGATAAGCACTAATATAGCATAGTTTGAGACTGTTTGTGCTGGGTCTGAAGTTATTACATCTGACCCATTATCTGCCATGTATTTCTTACTGCTGAAGTGTCTGTAACTTACTTTCTTGAAAGAAGTAATGATTTGTTTAATGTAAGTTTTTCCTAGGAATTCCTTTATTATGTTCACTAGTATACCTTCAATGACCAATATATAACTAATTGAAAGAACTGATCAGAGATATGTGAGAAAATACTGACCTTGAATTAGAAGAAGCTACTTTTGCTAAACAAAAAAGTAAGTAGATTGAAGACTTCAGTTGAAGCTTCAGTCCTAATGTTGCCTAAATGTGTGTATGTTATAAATCATGAACTAATGTAAAAATAATAACAATAGTAAATGTGTTAAAAGGAGCAAGTACCATTTGAAGTCCATTTCAAATGCATTGTGTAATGACACAGTCATGCACTGTGTAATGACATTTCATCAGTGATGGACCACTAGTGACACAGTACCTTGTTAGCTCACAGAAGTCCACTCTCTGATGTTTGTACATGGATGAAATTTCCTAACACAATTCTCACACATCTCCATCACTAAGCAGTGCATGGCTGCTTTCCATAGCTTTTAAATTAAAAGCAACATAGGTTTTTCTCATTTTATACAATTTGTTTTTAAAATTATCAATTTAAAAACACTTTACTAGAGGAGAATGGGCTAAGCTTATTATCTGAAAATAAATAAGATGGTGATCAAATCTGAGAGTGGGGTTTTGTATGGATAGCAGGGATTTCTTAGATATTCATAGCAACTCAATTTCACTCAACAAATAACAAGGTTCTACTAGGTACGATGGGGAATTAAAACAAAACATTATCACTAATAAGACGAAACTCAAGCAAAATCTGTTAAAAGGTCTAAGAGTGTGTGAGTATAGACAGTGACAATACAGATCGTAGAAGGGGGTCATGAAGTGGCTGATATTTTGATAAATCCTAGAAGACTGGTTGAGGATTGCTCTCCTCTCTGAGGTGAAGAAATAGAACCCACTCTAGAAAGGATGCCAGGGCTTTAGAAACCTTGAAATGCATATAACTCACAGAACAGGATGTAGACGTGGGGTAATTGAAGTGACAAGAATGTAATGGCTTCAGAGAACCTTCCCTTACTGTTTCCCAGGATTGTGCACATTAGCTGACTTCTGAACCCACTCAGTTGACCTCAGCTGAGATGATTCATGTATCTGGACTCATCTGGCACAGTCAGCATGCTGATCTGGGGTAGTCTCAGCTGGTCAACAGGGCATGGCTCCAGGTTTTCTCTAAACCACCTTTAGGCTACCCTGGGTTTTTTCTCACCACAGAGGTACCATGTTGTTCCTGAGACAAGGGGTCAGGGCCAACAAGTCACTTCTGCTGTGTTCTTCTGGCAACAGTTAAGTCCCCAGATTGCCATTCAAAGAGTGGGGACACAGAATCTACCTCTCCATGGGATGAGCTGCCAAGGCATATTGCAAAGGATTTGGACAATATAAATGGGAAGGTTAGCAGTCATCTTTGCAAATAGTCTTCTGTAGGACTTTTTTCCTTTTGTCTCTTTTTATTATTTGTTATTTTTAAAGTGTACATTTATTTTCACTGCACTTGAAAGGCAGAGACAGATCTTCCATCTACTGGTTCTTCCCAATTTCCTGAGCCAGGAATCAAGCTGAAGCCAGGAGCCCAAATTTCACCCAGGTCTCCCACCTGAGTGGCAAGACCCAAGTACTTGAACCATAGTCTCCCTATTCGCAGCCGCACATCGGCTGAAAGCTGGATGGGAAGCAGAGCTGGGACTTGAACGTGACACTCTGCTATGGACGGTGGGCTTCCCAAAGTGCTGCCTTAGTCACTGAGGCAATTGCTCACCACATTTTCTTCCTTTTGACTTGTGTACTGTGCTGGTGAAATGGAGCTTTCTGGTGATGCAGGCTGGGAGTAACCTGATGCATTTATGTTAAGTTCAGGCAGTCGTGAGAAAACAGAAGGGTTTTGAGAAGGGATGAACCATGTTCTACAGGGTGAGTAGGTAGAGAGAGAAATGGAGGAAAGGGTATATTCTCCAGTCCTCTAGGTAGATGCAAGTTATTGGACGTTTGAATCTATGTGATGGCGATGGAGGAGACTCAAGCGCAAAGATAAGGAAGTTCTCAGACAGGATGAACCGATAAGACCACTGATAGGATGGGAGGCAGGCAGAGCAAGAAGCACCGCCTTTAGCATCCTCCGTTTTCTCTCCAGTGTTCTTCACTCGTGCCTATTGCATGTTCAGAGTTGCCAGAATTTATTGTCTATGATCATGTGATTATACAGCATTTAATGAGTACCAGAAAATAACAAACATATAACAGGGATGTGGGACTCGGCCCCATTGCTTGAACCTACCTCTCTAATGGACAAAGCTTTCTTATCCTCTCCCAGACTGAAAATTTTTGAAAGATTGAGATTTTTTTTCCATCTGCATTTTTAATGATCACATTTAAACATGTTTAAAATCATATGAAGTTGCACAAATTTATTTTCAATTTTATTAAAATTAAATAATGCTGTGATGGATATGAAGAAATGTGCATAGAGACCACACTGACTTTATTGAAATAAAAATTTAAAGATAAAATTCTAATACCTAATTATCTTATCCTGAAATAAGCAAATGCAAAGGATATACATGCTAAATTTCCACAAACTCGTAGGCATTACAAAATGCACATAATGGAGTCATATAAAACATTTCATGTTGCTTTATTATAAATAATTGGAAACAATATTTCACTTTCAAATCCAGGTAAAACAGTAAATGCCTTGTTTTTCCCATACTTTATTTCATTTTTGTAATATGGATTAAGAAATAGTATTCTTTATGCAAAGACTGGTTAAAAAAAAGGTGTGGAACACAAAAGAACAAAACACTCATTTTCTTTTACTTAAAGCAATCATGAAGGTTTTAAAGGGAGAGGGTTAACAGCGCTATCAAGGAGCTTCTGTAGGACCTGCAAACATCACCTGTAAGGCAAAAAGGGTTGGAGACAGACACATAAATATAAAAACAACTTGACAGTAAACTTTAAGAGACATGTTCTTCAAAATATGAATAGCTTCATTCTCCCAAACGGAGGAAAGCCACTAAGGCATAACAGATCAAGTTACTAAGTCTGAAATTTTGGTATTGTTGCCTTGAAGAAAACTTTCCTTTTCTAAGAAAGGAGACCCAATACCCATTTCAATTTTCTCATTTCATAGTAACTCATATTTTGATTAAAAACTGTTAACTATTGTAATCTTGAACACTTAGAGGCAGAGAGCAATTCTTAATATTGTAGAAACTTTAAGTTGCCACAAAAATGTGCCCCAAAGTTCACTTAAAATAGATTATCCCATAGGAATATTTTCATTAAGAGATTTATAGCAGCTAGCAGTAAAATTTTCCTAGTTGGCTGACTATTATTTCCTTTTTTGTATATGTTCCCCTTAGATATAAAATTAAGCATTTTGCCAATTTTCTCCAATATTAATTTTAAAAAATTAGAAAGTGTCTAAGGAAAGAAAGTCTGAAGGAGAAAAATATGAAGAGTAACCTATTTCACCAAGTAAATGAATTTGTTGAACACTTGTGTGTTTATATGTATCAAATAAGGACAACATTGTATATTCCAGATTAAATACCTATGAGGTTTATCACGGATATAAACATGCTATGTACAATTTTATATATATATAGTTTAAAGTGTATCTTTTATAGAAACTAGAACTGGGTGAATCTGGTAACCATGTTTCCATTAATTAGCAAAAAATTAAATTAGCGTGAAATAACAGAATGAAAGATGGAAAAACTAAAAACATTTTTACAATAATGAAGTTACACATATGTATACCCATGCAAGAAGATACTGTAAAATGAACTCCAGTTTACTTGGTTTTACTTCAACATAATACATTCCAAATACTGCTTGTCTGTGTAATATCAAAAGAAATATTAGATGCATGTATATTATTTTAAGAACTTGGTGATACATTTCACATTCTTTAAATTTTACTCAGGCTATAAATACATTTGTAGATCAGTCAGTCAGTTTTTAAAAACAAATGAAAACTGTAGCATGGGGAAATAAATTGTTTACCTCTTATGTTCACACTTGATTATGACTACTTTTTTCTGAAAATGGTGTCAAAAAAAAAAAACAATCACAGAGTGGAGTGTTTCTACATCACACCATTGTCTTCTCCATATACTACAATTCATTATGGCTTATAAATATGGAATTTACATTTGAAAATGGGTTAACCTACATCAACCATGAAATGTGACATTGGAATTGGATTTTTGAAACCCATTAACATTTAACTAAGTCAGAAAACAATGTGATTTTTTTTACTTTTATCAAAATTGTGCAACAGTAAAACTTATGTTAGTAGGTTTGCATAGCTATAACACCATTTCCCTTGTATAATACATTTTTTCCAGAGTCAAAGCAGACCTGTTTCTATTCTTCATGTATATTCTTTTTTTCATTCATTTTCCTTTCTTTTCTTCTCTCTCTCTCTCTCTCTCACTCTTTTTTTTTTTTTTTTTTTTTTTTTGGCCTTATATGAAATAAACCATGTTTGCCATCTGGCTACCATAGTTCCAAATTAGGATCCAGTAGTAGTTTGAAGCACAGTGAGCTGAACAGTGTCTTCCCTTTGAAAGCATGACAGTGAATTGCATTCTCTTGAGTCAGGCCATACATACGTGGTGACCTCACACAGAGACTTCCGTGAACTCAAAAGGCTCCAAATCCACAGTGAAGAACCACGCTGACGTCTCGTACCCACCACCTGTTGCTGCAGGGGAGACAACATCGTTTGCTTCGGGGGTTTTCAAGCATTTTCTCCTCTGGTAGTGTCTCGGTCTCCAGATCGCTTCATTGCCTTTACAGTTGCTTCTACCCATGTGCTTTCAAAAGTCCAAAGGCCGAATCATCATGGTTGTGGAACGTAAGGAGTAACTGGGCCCTTTGAAGTAGTGCCACTTTATCCCGTTCAGTTTGCCGTGGTTTTGTCCCGCCGTGTAGAACATTCCATTTAGATTGGACGGGCCACACGCGTCAAACCACCAACCTGAAAAATTAGTAAATAACGACAGAAGGAGAAGAAATGATTACAAGTGAATCAAACATTTGGAAATTTGTGCCATTAACGTGTGGGGAACTTGTTCAAACTTATGTTTATTTGCAAATAGAAGGTACTCAGTAAATACATGAGATTGTTTCAGATTACACTCGATTTTGAATGTGTGTGAACAATCAAAGAGAGAGATGCTCTTATGAAAAGCAGTATTCAGTGTGACCCTTGGGATTCACTTCCCATTGTAATCATGGTTTAAGTCAGACGTGGATTTACAATAGGACAAATATAATGCAGATACTCAAAAGAGACATTCCACCTTAAGTCAGTTATTGGTAAGAATTTCAGAAGCTTAGACAACACATTTAAATAGATAAAAAAGAGATGTAGTCTATCTGCTTTATAATTTTGTCAAAGGACTGGCTTAAGCTGCTTCTAAAACTAGCTGGATACTGTTCAATGACTATGCTATTTAAATTGAATTTGAATAAATATACCCTCTCTGCCATTTATAACAATATGAAAAGTATTCATCAATAGTGGCCATATAATGGAGCAGACATTTGATGTAGTGGTTAAGATGCCACTCTCTGATGCCCACTTCCCATATTGGAGTGCCTGGGTTGGAGTTCTGCCTCTGCTTCTGATCCAGCTTCCTGCTAATGCATACCCTGGAAGGCAATAGGTGATGGCTCAGGTATTTGGTTCCCTACCATCCATATGGGAAACTCAAGTTGAGTTTTGGGTTCCTGTGTTTGGCCTGGCCCACCCACAGCTGTTGTGGGCATTTGGGGAGTGAATTAGTAGATGGAGAAACTCTCCCTCTCTATTTCTCATTCTTCATGTTTTTCAAAGAAATAATACATAAGTTAACTTTTTAAATAGATGTCATATTGTTTCTATGTAGCAATATTTTGTCTATGTTCAAATTCTTTCTAAGCATAGTAAAAAGAAAAATAAACAACTCGATGAATAACATGGAAATCCTGTGCTTCCATAGCTCTCTGCAAAGATAATTGAATAACTCAGTTTTATTTTTTAAATGAATTAAGTTCTTAGATTTTTAGATAGAGCATAGTGTTTTTCTCCCTCTTCTGAAGTAAAACTACTGAAATCTTTAGGGAAAGATTTATGCCAGAGACATTCTGGCATATTTTTATTTGGATACAGCTGACCTCTCTTTGATTACAAAGTTATACTTAAGGGACTAATAGCTAAAGAGAGAGAAAGCTATACAGCTGATGTTTAACTGAAACATGAGCATCATTTGCAGAAACTTTCAAGAACGTTAAAGGGAGAAAAGTCAGTTCTCATTTTTCAATTTTGGAAGATGAATTCGGCTGGGTTGTGTTTACAGAATCACACTAGAGGCATCAAGCTGCATTAATCAGCCGCTCATACTGAGTGGCAGTAAGGTATGTCTTGGTGAATTTTAAGACATTGCATTCAATGCCATTTTAAAAAGCTGTATGCAAACAACAAAAATGTTAATGCAGTCAAAACACAGGGGACAAGAAGCTTCTTGTTTAGTAAGGAAGTATGAACTGTAAAATTCCACCTTTCTATTTCTCAATAGTAATTTCTTTATTATCAGTATACCTAGTAAAAATATGCTATATATTTTACAAAAGGCATTCTAACCTTAGGGAAATTGCCCAGAAGATTCTCTTGGAGGATTAAAATAAAACTCCAAAGCAAAATTCAACTTGATTGTTTCATTGTTTTAGTTTTTCTCCTCTTTTTCTGTGTCCTGCTTGAGCTATTTTTCTGTCACATTAGTGAACATTTTAAGGTCTTTCCAATTTCCCCCATGGTCTCTGAGGTAAATACACTTACTCTATTGTTGAGAGTAACAATGTGTAGGGTGATCTTCCAAGCTACATTCAGTTACTGATGCTGAAAATGTTTTTGTTTTTGTTTATTTGGTTTCCAGAAAGTCAAACAGTCTTGGAAGATTGAGGAAAGGCAAAAACAGCCTGGCAATAAAGGGCACAGGCTAAAGAAAATGGCCTTTGGGAGATCTTGGAGAGCTCCAGAAGAGTGTAAGAAATACTTAGGACCTGTGAGAGAATCTAATAGATTGATCTCGTGAATCTTTTCTGATGAGTACAATGGAACAATGTCTGTGCTGAGGAGACTGGCATTCTGGAGACACTGAAGCAGAGCTTACAGCTGGGTCACAGTCAGCTCCTGAAGCTGCAAGAACCTGAAGAGCGCATCATCCAATCTTTCGTGCATTACCCTAACAGCAATGGAAAGCCATGATTTGTACTGGCCTATCTCTCATACTTACACTACACCTAACAGATTTCTTAACAAATGGTTGGCAAGTGACTATCGGCTTACTGACTAATAACTGACTGGTTCTCCTTATGGAAGTCTCTGTTGTCTGAAGCTGTTTAGTTTACAGCTATATTTAATAGACACCCCAATATATAAACTTTGTGCTTACAGTATTGACTTTTTCTTTATTCATGCATTTTATTATTGTGATATTTTGCTACACAATCCTTGACAAGACAGATACAGAACTTACTTCTCTTGTGGTAAACAGACACACAGAAGCAAATAAATAAACAACTGCATATTGTGACCAAAAGTTTCATGAAGCAAAGAATTGGGCATCTATGAAGGAGAATAACTTTGCACAGCCATGAAGGGCAATATTAGACCAGAGCTGAAGAGAGGGGGGCAGGAGCCCCATGAAAATGGGAAATGCTTCTAAGCAGAGCATGCACAAATTCTAGGAGGAAGAAAAGGAGCTTGGTGAGTTCAGGAACTAACAGAACATCAGAGTAGCTGGTGGACAAAATGAACAAGGGGAGACTTGTGGGTTAGGAAGGTGGAGAAATAGGCAGTATTGGGAGAAAGATGAACAATGTTTGTGGAAACATTTATAATTTAGCCAGACTATTTGTCCATCATCAGGTGAATAAGTAAAACATTCTCTTGGAAACCAATATTTAAGCCAGGGGAACCAGATCTGCCAGGTTAAATGTTTAGTCAAACATGAAGTAGAGCCCTCAATTCAATGGTCTGCCAAGGCCATCCTGACCATATGTGGCAGCATGATGAAGGGGAGAAAATCGAATCGAGGTTCAACTCAACAAATGTCAACCAGTGGACAGGAATGGGGACAGAAGTGAGCAAAGCAAAATCCTTACCTTCAGAATGTGTGCCCTTTCTTATGGGAGAGGGGCAAACAGTTAAAACTCAAACGAGTGGCATTAAACAAAGAAATGATGGCACTCTTATGGAAATAAAGAGGTAGAAGGCCCCAACTGCCCACAAAGAGAACTGCAAAGTCAACTCCTTTACCACCTGAGTTGTATCTGGAAGGATAGATATGGGCTTGCCTGGCAGGGAGCTCCTCTAAACACGGCCTGTTCCTGGAAGAGCAGGAGACAGTGTCTACCAGCAGCTTGGCTGGCTGGAGTGGCAGGGAGTGAGGGGTTGGTGAATACAGGGCTTGATGAATAAACAGGAGGTAGAAGACAAAGCATTGATTGTACATTTCCTCGTGGGCCATGAAGAGTCAGGAGAACACCAGAACAGAGGTAAGAAAATCTAGATTTTTATGTTGACTTCACCAAAGAGCCAAGAGACCCTGAGCAATGAGAACAATAATATTTTTTATTTATTGAAGAGTTAATAAGTGTCAGTGGCTCTGTGGAGATGAAGATATTTATATGCATTCTCTCATTGTACACCCAATGGTCACATAAGTAAAGACATAAAAAAGACATTAATGCAAGGAGAGTTTAAGGGACCTTTCCAAGGCCTCATGCATAATATGTGGCTTTGATGTCTGATTAATCATCTTCGCAGCACAATTTTAAGGATCAAATAAGATAATGCACTGACCAATAACACCTGTCAAATCCCAACCAAATGCTTGGAGTAAGTTATCCAGGAAGTAGGGAAGTAAATTTAGGATAGGAATAAAAGAGTCTAGATCTTGTGGGGCACCATAAAGATTTATAATGATGATAAGGTCATCAGCCAATATATTTTCTTATTTGCTCAGTGGAGTTTATTAGAGAACAATGAGAATAATTTGGATTCAGATAAGTGCAGTTGTACAATGTTTACATTACAAAAACATCATATTTAAATATCTAATATGGATTTTGCTTCAATGTTCTGTTTAACTTCATGAAGCATCAAAAAATTTGAAATGCTCAGTTACCTCTTTATGTCAAAACCAATGGATCATGCACAATATGACTTATAGGAGACCAATTAATGATAACAAAGATGATGAAATAAATGGTAGAAGGTGAAATAAAAGTTAATATTATCTTATAATAATTTCTTTTCCAACTTTAAGGTGGCAGAAGTAACATAACCTGTTTTCTCTGACACAGGCATTCAAACAAACTGAACAATAAACACGGGATTTTTATTAGTGTCAAATATTTCAAATAACCTGCTCACATTTTACCTTTCTTTGAAGAAATTAGACACAATCACATCTTTTAAGCAAAAATTCTGGAAAGGAGTGATTTCAGGCTTATTAATATTAAGTAGGTAAAAGTGTAGCAGACCTCCTGGTTACTCACATGTGCTTGTCAATATTTGTAGGTAATCATATGCATTCATTGCTACTAAAAACACAGAAAAGCTTGCTTGAGATAAGGACATTTTGTGTGAACGTATGGAGGAGTACACCTGGCTTTGCAGCTCCCTTTTTTGACGCTATAGCAAATAGGTCAATTATACATACTTTGCAATCCTGGGGAAATATTAACTTTGTACTCTGTGCTGTCTTTGCCTGGGAATGACAAATAAGAAATATGCTAAAGAAGCTAATTTAGGAGAGGCACTTGCAGCTTAGAAGAACTTGATGATGCAGGCAGAGCAGGAAAAAGCAGCTTCCCTCTGCTGTTGAGACAACTGATAAAATGTCTCAAATGTTTTGAGGTTGGCAACTGCTGAGACTTTCTTTGCCAAGCATTTTTCTTTATAACCTGTAACCTCATGTATATTTTAAT